GTCTTTAAAAGATGAAATTTCTTGCGACTTGGAAAACAAAATATCTTCTATAAGAAATGAAATTTCTTCTGTCGAGGAAAAAATAATGTCTTCCGTTGAGGAGAAAATAAAAGAGATGAAAAAGAAGATAGAAGAAATGAAACACGTAGACAAAACCAAGAACGGTGAAATAAAGTGCCATGAGGTAGAGTCGAAGTTAAAATTGGAAGGAGCTGTAAACTCTGCTCGTGTTAAAGCCCCAACTTTCGACGGATCTTTGTCATGAACCAATTACCTTAAACAGTTTGAGACAGCTGCAAGAGCAAACGAATGGTCTGAATGAGAGAAGGCAATAAATTTGACCATCGCCCTTCGAGAAGACGCTTTGGATGTCCTTCAGACTATACCCGTGGAAGAGACAGATGATTTTGAACAACTAAAAAGGAGGCTCAACATGCGATATGGCCACGAACAGTCTCGTGAGTAAAATTTTGTCAACTGTTTTTGCGATACCTTTAGGTAGCTGGGTAATGCTGTAACTTTAATATCGCGTTTGTAATGTAATTTAATTGTACTATTGCTTTTTTAATTAATTTTTTTAACAATACGTTACATATGCCGTCTGGGCCTGTGGCCTTCCTGTTTCGTAGCCTCTTTATTGTATTTTTGACCTCCGGAGGGGTTGATAGGCCATTTATTATTGTGGTTGTCCTCTAATATGAAAAGTTGCGAGTACGGTTTTTTTGAAGGAGTTCGCAACTTTTCATATTGAGTTGCCATGACTCATTTCTGGTTTATTTTAAGAGTGAATCAATTGTGTTCGCTATGTCTAGCAGTCACATTCTGTCTTCGGCTCTCCTATGTTGTTGCCATCTCTTTCTAATTTTTTTGTTCTTGATCAGGTCTAAGATGTCTTGTGGAAGGTTTTCTCTATGTGTCGTTTTAGTTTTTAACCGATTTCAAAAAAGGAAGAGGTTATCAATTCGTCGCGATATTTTTTTTTATGTATGTTTGGCGATAATTCTTTAGCACGGTGTCCGATTTCAATGATTCTTTTTTTGTTAGAAAGGGGGTACTTCAGGGGTGGTCCTATATATATTTGGTCAACATCTAATAATTGGGTCCATGAGGAAATCCTCAAACTCTTCATTTTTTATGTATGTTTAGCGATAATGCTTTACCACCTTGTCCGATTAATATGATTCCCTTTTTGTTAGTAAGGAGGTACCTCAGGGGTGGTTCCATATAAATTTGGTTAAGATGTGGTGATGGCATCTGCACGTTTTTGAAGTCGGTTTTTTTAATTTTTAATTTCTAATACTTGTTAGTTGTGTTGACCGGTCTCTGGCTTTATTAATGGCATCTGTTAGTTTTTTGTCTCGTTTTCTAAATCTTGTCTCGTTGTTATCTTGTTATTTACAGTGAAACCTGTGTAAAACGGAATCGCACGGTCGTGCACCGATTTTCCGGCATATACAGGATTCCGCGTTACACAGGGTAGATAAAAAATTGCACATAGTAGATTTAAAAAAGTGATGATTTTATTAAAAAAATCTAATATACGTACATTTAATATATAGTTGTTATTATTACTATGTACCTACATATTTTTATTTATTATTATAAACAATATAAATTATTATTTATTCCACATTTCTATCAATGTAAGTTGTTTTTTATTCTTTTGTAATACGTAAGATGATTCCATGAATGTCCTTAATTCTAAAATCTTCTTTCTCATCGGTTCGCTCTCTATTCTTTGGGAAAAATCCTCTAACGCTGCAACACTCCTCAAAGCTTCAGATCCGATCGGATTCTTCAACTTCTGTTCCTGTAGATAAAAATAATAATTTAAGAACAGATCGTTTTGAAAAGCTAATGGGAAAATAATTTTTTCTATCTGTTATTTTTGTGATGGTAACTGAAATCTTCCTATCTTATTTTTATTATGTATTTTAACTTTATTTCTACTTGGCCAAATGCCCAATTAAGATGGAAAGAATAAATAAAAAGTTGTTTATGTTTTTAGAGAATTAGAAAAATCGCTTACCAATTCCAATCCCATCATTATCGTCTGCCACAGTAGTTTCCACGGCAGTTTTTTCTAACACCAGTTCTTCTATGGACTGAAATCCAGCATTTGTTGTAACGGCTTCATCTAATGTGATGTAATCATGAACATTACAACCGGGATTAATTTCAGTAATTAACTCTTCGACTTCTTTTGTACTTTCGTCAATTTCGTCAACATTTTCGATTAGGTCAACGTCTCCATCTTGCTTGATTCCACATGCCGCAAAACATTTTTTAACACAATCAGGTTTAATATTTTTTACTGAATAATCAATCCATCTGATAGCATCCAAAACTGATATTTTTTTAGCCAAATCTCCTGCTGATTGAAAGAATCTCATGTTCGCAATAATTGACTGCAGCACTTGTTTTCTGTAATGCATTTTGAAGTTTTGTATAACTCCATGATCGAGAGGTTGTGTTTGACTTGTGGTGTTTGGTGGTAGAAAACACAATTTTATATTGGATAGTATTATTTTGGGGTGACACGTTGCATTATCCAAAAATAGAAGGATGTGTCGATTTTCAAATTTCATTTTTTGATTTAAAATTTTTAGCCACTGTTCCATAAGAACTGATGTCATCCATGCTTTTTTATTTGCTCGCCAATAAACTGGTAGCTGAGGCACATTGGTATTGTTAAAACATCGCGGTCTGAGGGATTTTCCAATAACTAGAGGTTTTTCTATTTTTCCGTCAGCAAAGGCGCAAAACAAAACGGTTAACCTTTCTTTAGATTGTTGGCCTCCTTGACATTTTTCACCTTTAAAGCACATTGTCTTGTCCGGCAGCGCTCTATAAAAAAGGCCAGTTTCGTCACAATTAGCAATGTCTTTTAGGGTATATCCTTTAATTAAATCTGTAATGTGCGATGTCCATTCAGTCACAGATTCCATGTCGACGTCCTTAGCTTCACCGCAGATCTGATTAAATCTTATGTTATGTCGTGTTCGAAAACTTTCCAGCCATCCATTCGAAGCTTTAAAATCTACTTTTCCAAAATGGTTTGCAATTTCTCTTGCTTTTTCTTGAATAATTGTTCCAGATACAGGAAGATTGCAAGACCTTGCATCCATAAACCATTCCAAAACTGTTGAATTTACGTCGTCGTGATGTGATTCCTTTGGCTTTCTCTTAATATCGCCATTACCACCACGCATCCACTCTTCTTTAATTTTTTCCTTGTCTTTCAAAATTTCATACACTTGCGTTTTTCCGCACTTAAATTGAATAACCAATTGCTTTGGAGTACGTTTTTTTTGGTCACTACATTTAATTAAGTCCATTTTAGATTTTAGCGATAATGTATTCATTTTTCGGTTTGCCATTTTGAAATGTTTGCACTTTCACGGATAAACTCAAACTGCCGTACCTACACAATACTGGTTTATTTGTGTATTTACTGCTTTTGTACCTAAATTTCTGTGATAATGGTTCTAAGTATTGATAATAGTTCGCGCTTATTATGGGGCTTTCCGAAATCATAAACTAATTATGTAAACATCTATAAATTCTTTTATACCTGCAAAGCAATAACATAAGTAGGTTCCGGCTTAACAGATTAGGGAAATTCCGTGTTCGCGTTAGACAGGGTTCCGGCTTATAAGCAATTTTTACATTACAATATGTAGGTAATCGCCAAAATTTCCGTCATACACAGGATTCCGTGTTACGCAGGTTCCGGCTTACTCAGGTTTCACTGTATTACTATTGTTTGGTCTAGTGTTCCAGTTTGTTGTAGAATAATCGTAAAATCGTCCTAGGTTGCGTTGTATTGTGTTTTTCGTCCTAAGTTCACAGTACACTGGTACGTGATCTGAGTTCAGTGTTGTTATCGTTCTTAGGTTATGCAATTGCGGGATATTTTTTGTGATTACTAGATCAAGTGTACTGGTAGTGTATCCGTTAAAAGGAAAGTGCGTTGGTTCGTCCGTGTAGTGGATGACTAAGTGATTATTTTCGGAGAATTTTTTCAACATAACTCCGTTCGCGTTGCTTACATTTGCGTCCCACTCCCAATGTTTACAATTATTGAGGTCGCCCAAAATTATGACCCTGTGCCCAGCCGACATACGGTTATGTAAATCGTTATAATAGATTCTTACTCCCGGCTTGTTGTATACCTCTGTGAATGTGAAGTTACCTATTTTGACTATGACGTGTTCTACGTGTGTGTTTACGTTGTGCATTTCCACGTGTGTTATTTCATGTTTTATTAAGATAGATACCCCCTGATGCTTGTATTTGTGCTGGTCTGTCCTGTCTTGTTGTTCTGTAACCTTTTAATTTGAATTTGTTTGTAGATTAGAAGTGTGCCTCTAATATCACTATTACGTCAAATTTGTTAAGCCTTAAAGTAACATTAAATTTTAACAATGACAAATAAATTTTTCTACACAATAAATATATATATATATGACGATTTTCTGTATCAATATATTGTACAACCCCTTCGTTTTAGAATTTGATGGTCCAAAGTGGCCGAAAATAGTCTCCACATTTATCAACCTTTTATAAATAAAATTCTGTGCTAACTGACTTACAGTTTTCAGTACTTATTATTAAATCATCTTCATTATCTTCTTTCTAAATGCAAAAATTATCACAGAAAACTATTTTGGGGTCATATTTTAAAATAACTCTTTGTGTCTCCTTTTGGTTTATGATCTGGACAAAATATTGTATTGTTTAGACTTTAGGCAGTTTGAAGGTGAGTATTTACTGTAAATGTATTATCAATTGTACTGGCCTAGCAGCGGTGTCATCTTCCAGAAGGAAAATAAAAGAACGTACCAGATTTCTCCAAATAGTACTAGTTTATCAAAAATTATTAAATGTAAACAAAGAACTCACGACTGGAATTTCAAATTTAATTACTCAGATCGCACCTTATTTATTGATTTCAACTTATATTTATTAATATTTGTTTAATATAAATATTTACTTACGTATTTAATATAACTATTACCACACCTCCATCTGGCTTTTTGAAAGCTACAACCTCAACTTCAGAATTACACTGACTCGAATATATCCTCACTGAATCTCTTGGAATGAATTTTGAAAAATGTCCGATTGCGTAGTACATTGGCTGTTTGTAAAATTCCTGTCCAGTGGCATTGACGATTATGGAGGAGTCGACGAAATTCTCGATGTAACTTGGTCCACCGCCCAGATCTAAAGCCATATTCCAGTCCATCCAACCCACCACCCAATGATTTAAATCCTGAGAAATAATAATATGATTTCTAACTAAAAAAATTGTAATAGATTAGAGAGAGATTTTCTAAGAAACTATAAAGCTTTCAAGCAACATGTGGCAAGGAGATTTTAAACCTAGAGCAATTATGACATTTATAAATGTTATAGGCGTATCTGTATCTGTAACGGGTGGAGAGTGGGTTACCCCTACGGCACTTATGCTTCACTAGGCGTATTTTGCATCCTCCTAAGATGATAGGCAGCTCTTAGCTCGTGAGCCAGCCTACAGATTTAATGTAGTTGATAACGTCGCCAAGGGGTGTTTCTTTTGTATCGGCCGATGTTAGCCGATACTCACCGAATACAAATCTTCTAATAATTAAGTGCGTCGAGCAATCGTAAAGGATATGCTCGATGGTCTCATCTTCTAGTTCGCACCCTCTGCAGGGTGCGGATTGTGACAGCCCCATGATATGGAGATGCTTCCGTACTTGGTAATTACCAGTCAGAATGCCTGTGACTCGGCGCAGATTCGGTCTAGTTATAGTCATAGTCATAGTTTACTACAGTGTTGTCAGGATGACTTAAGAGCTCCATGGCAACTCTGCAGTTTCTTGTTTCATCCCATCTTTCCGAATTTCACAAGGGAATGTTCTTTAATTAGGTATGTCACTACATTTTTTTTCAGGCCAATAGAAGGGCCAGGTCCAAACAGTATTTGGTTGGTTGCTTTCTTGGCTAGTGAATTAGCAAGACGGTTACCTTTGATTCATCTTAAGGTGACCAAATTGTTGATGGATACTTCGGCCAGGGCTTCGTGATATTCTATTACTAACCCTGAGTGGATTTGTGGTCTGTTCAGGGTGAGTAGTGCTTGTCTGCTATCTGTATAAATAAGCATGTTCCTTCCAGTGGTATTGTTTCCGGTGATTTCTTTTGCTGCTATGAGAATCCCCATTAGCACTCTTTGAACTGCACTGGCACTATTATTCAGAGCCCTTTTTATATTTATGTTATAGGCGTAATATAGTATATAAAATTTATTAAAATTTACAATGGCTGAAGTGATAAATTAAACAAATAAACGAAAAAAGAAAATATGAAAATAGTTCTCTAGTCCAAACAAATATTAACATTTGCTTGGATAAGACACAAATTTAGTCTTTACTATTTTAATCCTAATATTGTCCACAATGGACATAAATTAGTCGCCGATTTTTAATGTAAGTGTATTTGGCACAAAATTCAAATTTACCTCAAAAATATTTTTGGCATATTTTTCCGCTCTTTCCCAAGCACCTAATAAAACTGGTTTTAGGGGAGCCATACCTGAAACAGAATAAATATAATATAATTGTTTTTAGAAGATGTTCAGACGTGAAATCAAATATACAAAGAAAACTCAATGATCAAAAAAAATTACCATCAAAAGAGAGTATATATGTAGAATATAATAGTGCAAAGAAGTCAAAAATTTCCCTTATCATTAAAAAAATTGAAGGAATTTACAGGACCTATATTATAATAACAAATAGAGAAAATATGAACTGGGTGCTCAATTTTAAAAAACAAAGTATAAGATGTTTAAAGTATCCCTTGTATGAAATATTTTGCACATAAAAACAAAGCTTTTATCTTCTTGGATGTCAGCTTACCTTATTTTTATATTTACCAAATATTTTAACTGAACTGTTAATAACAGAGGTCAATGACCTGCTCATTGTGCGCCTACATTTCACATCTACTCTTTCTAAGAATTTAAAATAGTAAAGGCGTATCGTGCAAAAAACTTACCATTACAGGCTTCCGTGTATAACAAGAATTTATCAGGGAATTTATGGTGTGTTTCGTCCAAGATATACGCGTTGAAGTCGTGATCAAAATACCAATGGATAGCGACGCCGTCAATGTATTCCAAATTTTGTTTTTCCGAAAATACCTGAAATATTAAAAGTTGTGTAATTGAAATTTGTACGCCAGAGTTGTAAACAATATTTTTTGTACGAACAGAGTGAATAAAAATCGATTTTTTTAGATTGCTAAAATATTTATAGAACTTACAGTATCCAATGAATGCGTAAGTGTAGGTCTGTTGTCTTCGTTCGTCAAAATTTTTATATTAGAATACGATGAATTTTTAATCGCTGGACCGAAATACAAACGAATCCAATCTTTCTAAAAAAAAAATCCACTACAAGGTATTTAAAAAAATGGTTTTTACGTTTTATATTCAAAACATTTAAACTTTGACATTTTATATCCGAAATTGGATTTACATTTATCAGTGTTGCTAGAAATTTGTCATGGGAGGGGTTCATAGATCTCAGACAGCATCGCAAAAAACAGTTGACCTCCTTGATAACTGAGTTCTAATGTGGCACGACTAAAAAAATAGATGAAACTGGCATTTGAATTGGTCACGTGTATCCGTGGCGTCAATTTTAAAATCACCAACGAGGTCTCAGTACCAATCAATAAAAATTTTTAAACAAAACTGTAATAAAAAGGACAGCTACTTATAAAATGTGTCAATGAAACATTTTTAGCAGCTTAAATTACTAGAGTTTAAATTCGTCTTACCTTATCTAAATGAACGGAAAAAGGTAAACCGTTAGTCTTGCGGATGTCAGTTTTATTATTTAATTCATCTTATCTATAGACAAGAGTATGGGATTTTATTCGTAGTATCTGAGTTGTATATTTTATTGCTGTAGTTTTGGACTAAACTGCGTTGTTACAATTATATAAATTTACCTAAAAGAAAACAATGTTTCGTTACGAGTTCATTTAGATTGTTAATATTATTCCTAAATATAATCCTTTTATTATAGTTTTAGATGTCAGACATGCTATTCCGCGAATTAGTTACATTTTTGAAGTGAAGTCAGTCGATAGAACAGGATAATACAGTGTTTGTGGGCCAAACATCATTCGCCGTACGTGGCGCGTTTGTTTTAATGGTAGTTTTGTGATTATCACTGTACCAGAGGCGCGTTCGTTTTTAATTGTAGCTTTGTGATGTTCGGTGTGCGTTAGAAGATTTTTCGCGATCAGTTTTGTACCGATTTTTGTCAAGAGAGCATTTTTCAAATATTGTTTCATTGTACACAGTTAAATTTTTGTAATTTTCTTGGAATCTGTTATGCTAATCTCTTGTAAATTTTCCGTAAGACATATTGTTAAATGATTAGTTTTTTAAAGAAGTTATGAACCTATAGAGAGTAATAAAACAGCATTTCTAATGCAAAACTTAGTATGGTCATTTTAAATATTTTTACAGAATAATCTAAATATTTCCTAAAATTGTAATAAATGTACCTGAGCTATTACAAGTTTTGGGTCTTTTATTGGTCCTAAACATAAGCTGTACAGAACAATAGAAAAAGGTTTGGACAGGCCAAAAGCCCTGTGTATTAAAGAGTACATAGCCGTATCTTAAGATTATTTTCAATAAGTACCTATTTGCCAATTTTGTTTTATTTTAATTCCAAGAATTTCTTACTGTAATCGAATTATAAGTAGATAAATACCTTCCCAACAAATTTCACCGAAAATACGATTATAGGTTTTCCATTTAGTAAGGAGGTCCAAGTTGTGTATTCTTGACAGTTTACTAAATGTCGTTTAGTTGCAACTTGCAAGGTGCAGTGTGAATTCTAGTGTGATCATGGAAAATTTGGAAGGGCCGCGTAAACGACAAAAAATCGGTCCTTTAACAGTTAATGAAAAAACATTAATATTTAATTGTTTTAAATCATTTACAGACAAACATTTATATAAAAGTATTGACGACACAGTGGAATTAGTTAGTAGTACGCTTGGTGTTGGGAAATCTAAGATTTACAGAGTTGTTAAAGAAGAGAAATGTGGCGAGTTTCAAACAGCACGTAAAGCTCCAGGAAAACCAAAATTTCAATTAGAAAATATTTTGAAAAAAAGGCTTCGAAGGAAAGTGCATGCGTTCTTCTTTAGAAAAGAATTTCCGACAGTATAGACAAAGTTCTTGCCACGGTTCGAGAGGATTACCCTGAAAAGAGTCGAAGCACACTATGGAAACTTTTAAAAGAAATAGGTTTTCTATGAAAAAAGCATTCCAGAAAGTCTATTTCAATAGAAAGAAGCGATATTGTAGTATGTAGAAGAAATTACCTAAGGACTATAAAAGAAATGAGAAACCAAAGAAGAAATATATTTTATTTAGATGAAACATGGATCAACGAGGGACATAAACCAAATAAATTTTGGCAAGATGAAACTGTTACAAGTCGAAGACAATCTTTTTTAAATAATTTATCTACTGGTTTAAATCCACCATCAGGAAAGGGGCGCAGACTAATAATAGCACACATCGGTAGTTCAAACGGTTTTGTTAAAGGTGGTTTATTGACTTTTAAATCTACTCGTACCGGTGACTACCATGAGGACATGAATGCTGATGTCTTTAAAGAGTGGTTCGAACAAATTATAGATCTTCTTCCTCAGAACTGTATAATAGTAATGGATAATGCAAGTTATCACTCGAGACTTATAGAAAAAATGCCCACAACCAAGTGGTTAAAAAAAGATTTACAGAATTGACTAAATTCAAAGAATATTAAGTTCCATCCCGGTTCTGTAAGAAAAGAACTGTATCATTTGTGTTCCCTTCATAAAGAGAAATTCAAAAAATATGAGATTGATGAAATTGCAAAAAATCCTGGGATGACGGTGGTTAGATAACCACCATATTATTGCGAAGTTAATCCGATTGAACTGATATGGGCACAGATAAAGGAAGAAGTTTCAAGAAAAAATAATTCTTTTAAAATGAGTGATGTTAAACAAGTTTTTTTTGGAGGCTGTAAATAATGTGAAGCCTGAAAACTGGGAAATGGCAGTAAATCATACGATTAAAGAAGAAGAGAAAATGTGGAAGTTGGACAATATTGGTTGCGACAGTTCATCTTCTGATTTCGATTCTGATTTGGATTTGTAGGTAAGAAGTAGTTTTTATATTAAAATTATTATTTATGAACATAATGTTGTTTAAAAGTCAAAGTTTAAACCCTTATACCTACATAACCCGTTTGACACAATGTTCTTAACATACCTTGTGGAAAAATAAAACATTTTAGAAAAAACTGCACTTTTTTACCTTCAACTGTTTAGAAGTTATAAGCAGGTTAATTAGGTGAAAATATAAGTGTATACTCGAGAAATAACTTCAAAAAATATTTGAACTGTCTACTAAAAGAAGTGCTACGCTTATGGATTACGAACGCTTTATTATTTTAATACTCTCTCATACATAAAAATAGACTATATAATAATAATAATAGCTTTATTGCCCAACAGTTTCCCATTTACAGGACAATATTCTTAATAGTAAGTAACAATAATAAAGTGGTATCTAAAAATAAAATTAATAAATTACAAAAGTAAATTCTACTTATGGGTTGTGATGTAACATATATTTACACGAAAACTAATTAAAAGTTGCAAAATAAAAACTATAATAGAAAACAAATGAATATTGTGAACAAGCCAAGAATATATTAAAAAAAAAAAATTCTTACAAAAATAACACAGGGAGAATTCAATATAATACAATATACTTATTACAATATTTCGTTAAGGAAAGTAACTGCATTTTTAATTAGTTCACCAAGAGAACAATGAAAAATATCGCAATGACTACTAATTTTATTGTAATTGTTACACATTACATATAAGGGTGATTTTAACATCAAGTTGGTTTTTGCCCTAGGGCATTCGAATAGCTTGTTGGTTCTAGAATTTAGACGGGGTATATTAAATTTAATTTGTGACAAAATATCGCTACAATCAATAAAATTGTGCATGAGTTTAAATAGAAAAATAAGCGAGGATGTGTTCCTTCTTAGGCTCAGGCTATTAATATCAAATTGGTTACACAACTCCGTATAATCACAACCACGTTCGGGATATACTCCATCAATTTTGAAACCTAGGTATTTTAAAAATTTTCTTTGAACCCGTTCTATATCCAGAACGTAGCAGTTGTAATAAGGGTTCCAGATCAGACTACAATATTCCAGCTTAGAACGCACGTGGGTACTAAATAATAATTTAAGGGGTGCTATATTTGAAATTGCCTGCAGTTTCTAATAATGAATCCATACATTCTAAAAGCTTCGGAAACTTTAACTTGAATATGATTTGAGAAGGTTAATTTAGCATCAAAAATTACACCTAAGTCCCTAATAGTAGAACATCTCTCCAACTCATTATCTCCAATCGAATATGAGAATTGAATATTTTCTCTTTTCCTAGAGTAAGTAACTATCTTACATTTTTGAGCATTTAGGTGTAACATATTTGTCTTACACCAGTTATTAATACAGTTCAAATTTCTCTGGAGCTCATTGCAGTGATCTGTACATTTAATACTTAAGAAAATCTTTAAATCATCCGCAAAACACAATTTATTACAACTAATTTCATTGTATAAATCATTAATAAATATTAAAAATAGTAAAGGTCCAAGATTTGAACCCTGTGGTACTCCAGATGTAACCGCAATTGATTCTGATTTAAATCCATTGTAAGTAACGAATTGTGTCCTATTTGATAAATATGACTTAAATAAAGCTAAAGTGCTGTTAGAAAAACCAGTCTTTGAAAGTTTTGAAATTAAGAAGCTATGCTTAACTCTATCAAATGCCTTCGAGAAATCGGTATATATCACATCCACCTGTCCTTGGTCATCTAATACATCCGCAATAAATTGTGTAATCACAGTTAAATTTGTTACCGTTGACCGTTTGTCTATAAACCCATGCTGATATGGTGAAATGTAACTTCGGACAAATGGATATATACGATTATACAGAACGACCTCGAAGATCTTCGAAAAGTTGCACAATAGTGACACCGGCCTATAGTTTCCTACCTCAGACTTTGTCCCGCTTTTAAATATTGGGCATATTCTAGCTTCTTTCCATAGTTTAGGATATTTCCCCGTCTTTACCGATAAATTAAAAATTTTTAAAAGAGGCTGTGTTAAATTCTGGAACAATCCTTAATTAAGAAGGACGGTATGTTGTCTGGACCCGATGTCATCTTATTTTTAAGTTTACCAGCAGCCACATATACTATATACTCGGCATGTCAATTTTAAGGGGCAGGCAAGACAACGTGGAGAGTTTTGTTGGTTGGGTTTTTTTCGAGGGTTAAAAAAAGGAAGAGTCTCCCCATATACTGTTTTTTTTTTTTCTCTAAATATAATTTTCAACGTAAGTGTATAAGATTTTTGGGATTTTAAGTTTAATTCAAAACTACAAAAATAAAATGTATAAATCAAATACTACAAAATTAATATAATTTTGTCTATTAATTAGATGAATTATATAACAAAACTGACATCTGCAAGATTTCTATCAGCACTAAGTAACGGTTTACTTTTCATCGGTTCATCGGTTCAATTAGATAAGGTGAGATGGTCAAATCCAATTTAGATAAAAGTCGCAAATACTTACTATCTCTTCAGGAGTCCAAAGAACGGCAGGTATCTTAAATAAGCCCATGGCGAAATAAATTTCATTGCCAGTGGTAATGCCCCAAAATGTGATATTGTGATTTCGATAGGCGTCCAAAAATTTAATAAAATAATTTGCCCACGGTTCGTACATTTCTTTTCTTAAATACGCGAAATTTCCGTTGTATTTTCGGTTCTCCTTCATCCATTTTGGTGCGGTCCAACCTGAACCTAAGAGAAGAAGGTTGTTTCTTAATTTGAGCGCTTCCTGGATTAAAGGAATCTGAAACAGTTTTCGTTATAATTTATTTTGTTTGAATATTTCTGTACCATCCGTGAATAAGTGGATAAGACAAATTTTAGTAAAAATATAATATCTACATATATCTAAAGGGCTCTTCCTATTCTGTTTGGTGAACAAATGGGTGATTCAAATTCGCAATAGCTTCCTCCATGAGTTTACTTCAGAGTACGCCGTGAATAGTTGGATTTCTCCAATTTTTTGTGCCAAAACCGGTAACTAGAGCTATCCCCGGATTTGGAAGAGGTTTATCCAAATTATCAGTCGTTTTCTAGTTTTCTTTTCCAATCAAAATGTATGTTATTTGAAATAAGTTCACTTTGCTTTTTTCATGAATAAATAAAAATAATAAAAAAATTTTGTCCTGTTTATTTATACTAGAATAAGTCAGTAACTCAACAAAAACACACACATTTGAGATCAATAAATATAGTGCAGGTGTTAAGTATTGGACACTGAAACTTCTTCTGGAAAGATAAATTATTCTCCTTTTAAACGGAAGAGTTTATTGACATTACAAATTATATATTTTGACAAAAACATTCAAATAAAAATTGTTTAAATACAGGGTGATTTTTTTAACACTTCCCCTTACTCGAGTATGTTAAATTTAAAATTATAACTATGACATTTCTCTAAACTAATAATTACCAACATAGTCGAGTAGAGTTATAAAAATAAACCTAAAAAAATAAATTAAATAACTATTTTGTCAAGTCCTATCTCTCCTACAAATTTTTCATGTTTTATTTTAGGAAGAGCTTTCGTAAATAAATCAGCTACTAACTTATTTGTGGTTTTATATTTAATAATAACTTGACCACTCTCAACAGCTTCTTTAACAAAATGATAATGTATATCAATATGTTTAGTTCGTTTAAACGCCTGATTATTAACAATCTTATGTGTACTCTGATTGTCATTATAAATGGTAATTGGTTCCTGTAAATTTATTAAACGTAATTCTGAAAATAAATTTCGTACAAACTTTGCTTCTTTTACAGCACTTCCTAAACTATAATATTCAGCTTCTGTACTTGAACATGCTACAGTTTGTTGTTTTCGAGATTCCCAATTTATTATAGAATTGCCAAATTTGCTTACAAGTCCCGTATAAGACCTTCTGTCATTGCTGTCTCCGCCCCAATCAGCGTCACATGATATTTCTATATTAGTCCCACTTTTACTATATAAAAGTCCATAATCAGATGTTCCAATCAAGTATCTCAATACTCGTTTTGCAGCTGTCCAGTGTGTTTTGTCGTAACAAGTGTTGTACTGACTTAATTTGCTACAAACATAAGCAATATCTGGACGAGTGCAGACCGCAAGATACATAATACCCCCAATTAACTCTTGGTATGGATATTTTGTATCACAACTTAAAGCTCTCTCTAGCTTTGAGTTAACATCCATGGGTGTTGATATTTTATGGCAATTTACCATTCCAAATCTATTTAACAAAGTTTTTACATATTCACCTTGTGATAATTTTAAAAAGCCCTTATTCCTGTTTCTTTCGACTTTTAACCCTAAAACTTGTTTAACTGGTCCTAATACCTTTATTTTAAAATAACTACTCAAAATATCATACAGTTCAGTTTTTCCCTCTTGAGTGTTACTAAAAACAAAAAAATCATCCACATACAAAGCGATGATTATTTTGTATTCGTTGTAATCTTTGATATATACACATTTTTCACTCTTTAACTGCTTGTATTCATGACGAATCAGAACTTCATGAACTTTCTCATTCCAAGCTCTGCTCGCCTGGTTTAAGCCATATAGACTCTTTTTGAGTAAACACACTTTATTATTGCCATCAACCTCAAAACCAATGTAAATGTAAATGGTTTCATTAAGATCGCCATTTAAAAAAGCTGTACTGACATCAACATGTTCAATGTCCATGTCAAATTCCACTCCAATGGCAAATAATGTGCGAAGAGTAGAATATCTGACTACAGGTGCAAAGGTTTCCTCATAGTCAATGCCATATCGCTGTGTGAAGCCTCTTGCGACTAAACGAGCCTTATACTTATCTAAATTACCATCAACATCCACTTTTATTTTGAAAACCCATTTACATTTTACTATATTAGTATTTTTTGGTCTATCAACTAATTGCCATACACCATGCGATAAAAGTGAGTCATACTCATCTTTCATGGCTTCAATCCACTGTTCTCTTTCATCTGAAGTAACAGCATCATGAAAACTGTTAGGCTCATTTTTACCTAATATTGCCATATTGGTAAAATAATTCATTTCATAATCTTCAGTCCAAAAAGGTAATCGCCGTTCACGCACAGGCCTCCCGTTTGCAGGTTGTTGTAAACTATCATTTTCTTCAAATCTAGTATCATCTGTGTCTGAAAAATTAGGAAAATTAGAAAAATATGTGATCACCAGGTATTTCACAATCATTATTATGTTCAGGATCAATGGATTCGTCCCTTGAAACTGATATATCATGCTCCTGTGTATCACAATTAACCATCTCAATATTTTCAACAGACTGAATATTAAAAGTATCATTAACAACATTGGATATGTTACCTTTAACATCTTCAAGAAATTCTACAGATCTAGCCTTAATGATTTTACCAGGATTTGATATATCTGCTAATCTATAGGTTTTACTATGAGCACAATATCCTACCATTATATATGGTTTTGATTTAGTATCTAATTTTTTTCTCTGCTGATGAGGAGTTAAAGCATAAGCTCTACAACCGAAAACTCGGAGATGACTCAAATCTACTTTAGATCCAGTCCATATTTCCTGTGGTGTAGCCCCATTAATAGCAGTCGTAGGACAAGCATTCTTAAGGTATACTGCAGTATTAACTGCTTCAGCCCAATATTTCCTGTTTAATCCAGAATCTTGAAGCATGGCTCTCGCCTTCTCCATAATGGTTCTGTTTAATCTTTCAGAAACACCATTTTGTTGTGGTGTATAAGGTACCGTAGTTTCATGGACAATACCACATTGCTTAAAATATTCAGTGAAACTCTTATTACAGTATTCAGTACCATTATCACTACGAAACCGTTTTATTTTAAAATTAGTTTGGTTTTCGACCAACTTTTTAAAATCAATAAACGTTCTTAAAACACTGTTTTGATTCTTATTCTGTAAAAAGTAAATAAAAGTTTTACGAGAAAAATCGTCTGTAAAAGTAATAAAATAACGGAAACCGCTCCAACTTTTTTCAGACATGGGTCCACACAAATCTGAGTGGATCAGTTCTAATTTATTTGTCGTTCTTTTAGCCTGCCCTTTAGGAAAAACAAGATTATGTTGTTTTCCTTCAATACAAGGAATACATGAGCCCAAATCACCATTTTCAAAATTAACACCGGTAGCTAGCGAATCACGAAGCATTAACATACCTTTTAAACTGAGATGCCCCAAACGCCGATGCCAAGTTTCTAATGACCTAGTTTTAGATACTAAGGCATTATCTTTATTTATAGTAATTCTATCTGATGACTCCAGTTTAGACGACGATAATACTTCCTTTTGATCCAATCTGTAAACACCATTAACTTGTGTCGCTGTAAACTTACAAGAACCAATTATATTTATCATAAACACGACACATAATATCATCAAATACTAAGATATAATCTTTTTGTGCTATTTTACTCACAGATAACAAATTTGCTGCAATATTTGGAACATACAATACATTAGTTATAGTTTTTGTATCACTATTACTAAGAACAACATTAATGTCACCTACACCTTCACTATACATTTTATTATTGTTAGCAATGCTAATTTCAGACGGCTGGTTTTTTGAATAATTAACAAACCAGTTATTTCGATTAGTCATATGACTAGTACAACCAGAGTCAATTATCTAATTGTCATTAGTAATAGTGTTACTAAATAAAGCAGTATGATTTGAGAATAACATTGTATCTCTATTTTTTGTGTGAGATATAGAACCTGACTGTTGTGAAGTAGAAGCATGCTGCAAATAATTATTAAACTCTTTCTTTTTATTTTTCTTCTCCCTTCTTAGTTCAGGACACCTTGGCCTAATATGTCCTCCCTTCTTACAGTGATGACAAACGGGAACGAATTTATTTTTGACAGCTAAAGCTTTGTCCTTCAAATCAGCAATCATATACTCATTTCTTTTAAATTCACCTTGAATTAAACGAGCTTTTACAAATTCTGAGGTCAGTTTGGTTTGTGTAGCTTATATAGCCATTACTAATGGATCGAACTCGCTTGGTAAACCAATAATCATTAATTCTGCAATTTCTTCATCATCAATAACACAACCAATATCAGAGAGTTCTTGAGTTACAGACATAATTTCCCCTAAGTAATGATCCATAGTACTATAATCTATATATTTAATTTGAGAAAGTTTTCTTTTTAATTGCAACCGTCTACTGATACCCATATTTTCATATGCACGATTTAAATTATTCCATGCCTCTGCCGCAGTTAGAGCATTCCTTACATGAGGATAGCATATAGGTTTTACTGATAAACAAATTTTGGCATACGCTTTTTGATCTTTTGAAGAATCTGGGGTACCTTTATATTGGCTATTTACATATTCCCAAAGACCATGATCAATAAGGATAAGTTTCATTTGAAACTTCCAGGTAGCATAATTACTTACTCCTTCAAGTTTTTCAATATTTATGTTTGATCCACTACTAATAAGTAATTGAGTTGGAACAGACAAACCTGTGATAGCTGCTGAATCGCCAGTCTCTGACATAATAAAAAATTTCAGCAAATCACTTGGAAATATTTCACAAAATTATTTTATTTTTGTAATTCTTTTGGTCGCAATACCATTCAAAGAAGGCCCATAACCTATGTTAAGTATTGGACACTGAAACTTCTTCTGGAAAGATAAATTATTCTCCTTTTAAACGGAAGAGTTTATTGACATTACAAATTATATATTTTGACAGAAACATTCAAATAAAAATTGTTTAAATACAGG